CACACACACACAAAAGACTAAGACAGACATTTCTCCAAGGAAGATAGGCCAAAAAATACGCGAAAAGATGTTCACAATCATTTTTATTCTTCATCTCCCACCTGCAAACTCACTGCTACTTGCTCACAGGGACCACATGTATAGGACAGAGCAGAACTGCCTCTGTGGGTTTTTGAGATGACAACTCTCTATGGGAGTAGAAAGCACTACCTTTCTCCCACAGAGGAGTGGTAGTTTCAAACTGCTGACCTTGTAATTAGCAGCCTAAAGTGTAACCACCAGGTCACCAGAGCTCCACATTTTTGTTGTTGTTGTTATTAGGAAATGCAAAACAAAACCATACTTATATGTATATCACTTTACAGCAACTAGGCTTCATAACCAAAACGACACAATGACAAATCTTGGGAAGGTTGTGGAGAAAATAGGACCTTTATACGCTGCTGACAGAAACGCAAAATAACGCATTTTGAAAAACAGTCTGGCCGTTGTACCTGAGTGGAAAACATACATATCCAAGTCCCATAACTAGTAAGTGGCAGATTCCATCCCTAGCCACCCACCTCTAGCTGAACCTCCAAACACTACATTCATTTGTCACTGTCTCAAAAAACAAAACAAAACAACAATAAAACAACTTTGTAAAGCAGAAATTGCTACTTTCCCGTCTCCTCTGGTATGACTTCCCTGAACTCAAGTTGACTTGACCTATGATATCTCGCTCTTAAAATATTTGTTATCTTACCTGCTATACTTGCACCTTTTGTTAAAATCCCTTCTCTTTGAGATATTGCTTCTGCCTTATTGGTCAGACTTCATCTTAAACCAATTAACACACATTCTTTTTCTGTTGATTGGAGGCTAACACTGCACTGTTTCCAAATAAGCTAAAGGAATATGATCAATTAACCCCTCAAGAGTAAAGTAATTCATTGTTAAGCAAGTACTTAATATAAAATGAACATAGGGAGTGGTTGGAATCAGTTCACTGATTTAAAAGGCTATGAAAATACCATGCAAGTATAATTACATTGCGGTCTTCTGTAAAGATGCTAGATTGTCCCCACTCGTTGTAGGACCAATGTTTTTGGTTGTTCAGTGCTGGGTTGGATAAATATGAGGTTAGGCAGGAAAACTGGACTGCCCTACTCTGTCCTCTTACCAAGAACACAGATGTGCAAGATGAATACATTTGCAATGATCTCTTATTGAAAAAAAACAACCCCTACAATAAAAAGCATTTCTATTATAGAAATTCCTGGCTTGGAACATGCGGGGCAGGGTTTTAGTCCTTTATTGGGCTTCTGAATTTATTTAATGTCTAAATTATCTGAGTATCCAATGCTTCATTTAATGGTGTGTGTGTGTGTGTGTACACTTATCTCCGCGAAAATCACTGTATATGTGGAATGAAAATGATTATTTAGGATGGAAATATCCTATTGCAATTAATATAATAGGACTCTATCTCCCACCCATTTCACTACTTCTGCTTGAGTGGGCAATTACTAAAGAGGGGAAGAATAAAAGAAAGAATGAGAACAGACGGATTTTCTTTAAAAATAGAATAGAATGGGATGACATTTACTTCCCAGTTTATGACAGTTGAAAGCAAGCTTCTGAGACCCTGGGGTTGCTCCTCGTTTCACAGTGTACGGTTTTGAAAAGATAGAGCATATGAAAACAATTATATTCAGAAAAATATCTGGCAATTATCATCGTGAACATTGGAAGTGGAAGGAAATTATAGAAAAAACTTCTATATTAGGTCAATCTTAGGAAGAATTTCTAATAAAAGAATGAACTCTGTCTTACTGCTGTGCAAGGGAAAGAGAATATTTTCTGAAATTTCCTTAAGGGTTGCTAAGGACATACATACAGAACACTTGTATAGTTGAAGCTATCTAGGAGCCAGGAAAAAATATCAGTTTATCTGAAACCTGTAGGATCTCTAGGAGGTGGAGAAAGGCGAGAAAAGCAACTAAACATTTCAATAGCTATTTCAGTCAAACAACATTTTCTTCATGTCATCAATGATCAAAGTATAAAAAAAGAGAAATAGCTCAATGAAATCCACTCATCTTTCTGTGTGTAATGGTACATTCTTTTCTCTATTCTTCATAAATTAAAATAAATGAATGAAAGGAAGCAAAACTCAGAAAGATCTAATAAATATGGAATGGGACTTACGGACACTGAAGTGTTCACAGCCTGTCAACTTATCAATAGCTTTGCAAGCTTCCTCTGTCTTTAGCATGTCCTCCTGCCTTTTCTTGCTTTCTGGATCATTGTTCAAAATCTTGTTCCTCAGCCAGGTCAAATGATACACCCGAAGTCTGTTCTTACGGCCTGATAAATAAGAAAAGATACAGTACCTCAATTCAGTCTAGGGTTCATAAATTAGAAGAACAAGAAAGTGAGTATCATTTTGGCATTTTAATGAAATATTTGCATTAAAGTAAAACTCACTATATATATATATAGATAGATAGAAAGATAGATATAGATACATATAAAAGCATATAGGTATCATTTTGGCATTTTAACAGAATGTTTGCATTAAAGTAAAACTCACTATATATATATATATATATATATATATACAGACTAAGATAATAGAATTTCCATCCATTCATTTGTATCTGTGCTAACCTCTAAATTATGTCCCTCCTAGGAGATGGAGACCCAGAAGGTAAATATTGTATGTATTAACTGTTTGGGCGTTCAGGGTGAGTGGGATGGGGTACTTATGTTCTGTCATTCTTAAAAATAACTGAAGTTGTCATAATTTTTCACAATTTACCTTTAATGCTAATTATTAATGGTAAATCCCTTCAAATCTTATCATTAATTTAATGAAAAAGGACATTAAAATCACATATTCATATTCATTTCTAAAGCAATTTTTAGGGTTTCACTTTTGAAGATTTCTAGGACCATAAATAGGCTTCTAACTCATGTGATGAAGATTTAATATTTCTAGATAACATTTTGAACAAATTTTAGAGTTCAGACACCTATGTCTATTGTCATTCTTTTCTAAAATATTAAAATGTGGGCTTTAAACTCCTGGGTATCATTCTATACTGAGATTATAAGTATAGATTAAAGGAAATAGACCCTAGATTTTAGAGACCTTCAAACATTAAAGGTCAGATTTGGGTTAGAGAAAGTTGGATAAGTCTCCCAGCCAGCCAGGTGTGTTTAAAAACTAAACCTTGCTCTTGTAGATCTCAAACAATTTAAATGAATGCCGGTAACAAATGACAACTAATCATGGAGACTGAGAAGACCTACACAGAGGGTGTTCTCCTCTAATAAAAAGTTTAAGCAAAATTAATCACATTAAGGGATAGCCATGATCATGTGCCACATGGCTACTAGGTATAGATCGGGAGTATATATACTCTTATGATTAACTGTGATTGACATCAATCGATTAATAAGTTTTTGAAAAGTATTTTTTTCAGTATTCCTCTTTTTCAGTCAGTCATCTTTTGTCAAAAATCAATTTTAATTCTAGTGTTTTCCTGATAGCAATTAAGGACTAATAATAGCTATCATTATTAATACTAATTTAGTGGCACACTCATTTCCAAAGGTCCAGGTTCTGATAATACAAAACCAAGATTCAACTACTATGTGAGAAGAGTACCAAGGATCCATCCGTCTTTTAAATTCTATTTCTAGGTTCTTGTGATAAGGCTGTGCTAGGGACAACAGTCGCTTCCTTACTCAACTACTGTCCACTTGTTCTTCGTTGCTTCTAAGACACAACATGGAATGTGCACGTGGTTGTTGCAGGTGAGTAGTATGTGAATGGATGAACATTCAAACTGGGAAGTTGTAAGTTGTACATTACTTACAAAACAATCTTCAAGAATGCAGATGTTTTTGTTTTTCTTAATTTGGCTAGGAACATTACAATGAAATATTCAGGCATCAAATGTTAGTGAGGTTTATTGAAGATGGAGGAAAGCCCTAAAGTATTGTCCTGATATAATCTTTAAAACTTAAATCTAACCCCATGGCCCCCTAGGTCTTCTTTAAATCAACAAGTCATGTTATGAGCTTCAGTAGTAATGAAAGATTGCCTTGAACAAAGTTATTTATCTATATTCAATAAAATTGACAACAGCAACTCTGAAAATTAGATAGGTTGTTGAATTTATGTTAATGAGAGGACAATTAGGAAAAGGAGGATAAGACTGGACATACAACTAGAAGAATACCATCAATGTCACTGAATTGTACGCACATTCTGTGGTGGCTGTTTCAACAACAAGAAAAATATAACAAATTATTTTTAAGGTAATTCAGGTTTAACATAGCTCAAAAGTCAAGTTTAAATGGTAAATCAGAAACAAAACAACAACAAAAAACCCCAAATATATAAGAAAATTATAAATATCAAAGACTGGAGTCCCAATTACAAGTTATATTTAAAGGCTTCTCCTATGAACACTTTCACCTGAGAAAGTTTTTAACCCAGTTGGCAACCTAATTAACCTGCATAATTAGTCAGTTAATTTTAGATCTTTAACAAACCAACCGGAGATGGTAATCAGCAAATTGAGTGGCTCTACAACTTGGATCTGACGGAATGGTCTTCTCTTTATCAGTTTAGTTATGCTGGCCTTTCCACTTCTGTCCATTAGGTACAGATTCGAGCGGGTTCCCAACAGCAAATTCACTCCTGTTTGTTTTTTTTAAAAAAATTATATTAGTTCAGATCAATTTTTAGAATTGTATTTTTGTCAGTGGTTTTGCTATTGTGATATGCTAATCTAAAGGCTACGTTGATCATTTTAGGCTAATATTAAGTTCATTCTGTGGAAGTGTGGACTCTCTGCCAATCTAACAAAACTCATTCAAATACATTGAAATATAGAAGCTAATACACTCTAGCAATACTCAGGTGTCTGGCACATTGTCCCACAAACAGAAATTGATGTATCTCAGTGCTCAAAACAAATCAACCCTTTTGGAAGTCACCACTAAACAGTATGGCTGCCTAGCACATACAAAGATTTTAATTCTGTTGATTTCTCAGTCCAAGTTATAACTAAAGCTTTTAAAAATAATTACATGCAAAGTTGTCATTTTAACATTATATGATAGTATGCCCATAAAATGCCTTTAAAAAAAACTTATATTGTTAAATACATGCAATTAGTTCCTATGTACATATACATATGTCCCTACATTCTTTTTGGTCAATTGGATTTCCTTCTTCACAGACAAGCACCATTTAAAGATCAAATGAGAGGACTAAAGTTTAAGATAGAACTAAAGTTAAAATACACTCCTAAGCACGGTGGATTTTTCTCGATAAACTATATCACAGGTGACAATAAGCCACAGGGAGGAAAAATCAGCATCTTATTTTCACTTGGAGTATGTTTAGGAAACTATGATGATACATTTTTGTTTCTAAAATATAAACTCTGTTATTAGATATTAACTACAGCACTGGGTAGCTTTGTTTTCTTGCTTTCTGGCACATTATATTAGCAAAACTTTGAGAATGACGCGGTCTTTTTTTTCAGTTGGTTGGTACATTACATATAATTTCAATGTTTGCTACATGGCTCGATCTTTAATTAAAAATCATATCTGCCATCCGATAATATATTAACAAAATCTGTTTTGGAGGCTGGCATTTACCTTGGATTTCTCGCCTCCTTAAATTCAGATCCGCTAGTGGTAAAACTGAGCCCTGTTGGTGCCATGGTTAAAGCACTTAGCTGTGTCGGCTTTCAGAAAGAGTTACAGTCTTGGAAATCCTATAGGCTACAGTTCTATTCTGTCCTAGATGATTGCTATGAATGGCAATCAAATCGATGGCAGTAGGTTTGGTTTTAAGTAAAATACTGTCTCTGCACTATCAACGTGGCTATAATTCTTCTGAGATAAAAGGATTGAAAAAAATCAATCGAAGTTGACATTTTATATAAAGAAATTTCCGCACAACTGCTAAAGGCTTTAAATATAATATCCTGCAAAATTCCTCCTCATAATGCCTCATTCTGTATCATCTTATGGCACACTTCCCTAGTTTTGAAATACTAAGCTCACATTTTCAAATAATGATAACCTACTCCAATGTGTTCCAAAAAATAAGTATAAAAGCAATTCGGTTTTAAGAAATCAAAACTCACCCCACAAAGAACCACAGCAGATCTCCGAAGTGAATTCCTTTTCATACATGTGGATTATGGGTTTCTCAGATGCAGCTGAAGCATAGAGTGGATTGACATTGATATCAGAGGGTGGTTTAGGAGGTTCCTCAGGTACTTCCACTAATCCAGCATATGCTGGAAGAAGTAAGGAGACGTTATCGAGGGAAATTACTAGCTTATATGCCATATGTGCTTAGGTGTTTCCACAAATCAGATAGAGCCCAGGAAAGTTCCCTTTATTTCACTGCATTTTATTACTGACCGGAAATATTTCAGTCTCGGGAACCCACAGGGACAGTACTACACTGTACTCGCTGGTCACTGTGAGTCAGAATCAACTCGATGGCAGTGAGTTTGTTTTCCTGGTTGGAAACCATCCACCGGATAGCGACAAATCACTATGATCAAAATTGACTGGTGAATATGAATGCATTTTAAGTTACTGTGACAAAAATTCCCAAAGAAAAGGAAAACCCATAATTTTTGGTGGGTTTTCAGATTTAGATACCATAAATAGTCGGAAAGGTGTAGTTTTTCTGTTCAAACACTTACCAGGCTGAATTTAAGTCAAGTGAATATCAAAATGGTTTGCTTATTTCTAGAGCATGAAGCAGTGGTCAAGCACTCTTATATGTGAACAGATAAAAACAGTTAGAGATTGACATGAATTGACTTGTGCCCACTCCCTACACCCACCCACCCCAGGACCATTTGGGTGTCAAATTCCTGGTTCTTTTATCTGTAGATATTCTCTTGTTTTGAAATGGGATTTTGTATCCCTTCCGCAGGATTAATGAAGTTATGCCTGTATAGAGCGGATGTTTCCTAAAGCTAGTCATTTCTAAGTTACCAAAAGATTAGCATAAACACAAGGGCAGAGGTAGCTTTGGAATGCCATGTGAGAATTATCTAAATCTCAAGGACCCTAGGAACACCGAAGGCCGTCAACGAGAAAGGAATCGACCTAACTGGGCCCCTGGTTTGGTGGCGGCAGCACTAGGCAACAAAGAAATCATCGGAAACACACTCGTAGACGGCACTGGCCAAATAAACAGCAGCAGCCCTTCTAGGACCTCTGGAAGGAGATGAATGGCTGGCAGAAAAATTCTAATTTGTTGATGATTCTGAAATGTCCTTACTGTCATTCTCATGGTCCGGTTCTGGAGTCGGCGCATTTGAGGCCTCACTTCCATCACGTGGCACCTGAAGAAACAACCCCAATCCATTTTATTAGAAAGGTAATAGTCGAAAAAGTTGTTTGGTTGGTTTGTTGTTTTCTTGTGGGACAGGGGGAGGATGCAAAATTTGAAACAACTCCTTTATAGTTTTATAAAAACCAAATTTACTAATAAGACTCAAAAATGTTATGAGAAGGAGGAACGAATCTTGTTATTGAGACAACTAATGCGGGAAGAGAATTGCCAAAGAGTTTCATGTCCTTAACTGCAAAATTAAAGAACCCTGGTGGTACTGTCCGATAAGCACTGACTCGATAACCACTAGGTGGCTGTACAAACCCGCCAGCCACTCTGATGGAGAACTTTGAGCATATCTGCTCTCATAAAGACTTATAGCCTTAGAAACCCTATAAAGGGTTGCTGTAAGTCAGAAATGACTCAACGACAGTGATTTAACTGTACAATTTGGGGTTTTTTGTGTGTGTGTTAACAGGGGTAGCATAACCAGCTTATGCTCACTTACTAACTCAAAGATTGGCAGTTCAAACCCACCTTGAGACTCCACAGAAGATAAAAACCAAAGAAAATCAAATTCAGTGCAATGGAGTCGATGCTGACTCATAGTAACTCCTCAGGACAGGGTAGTACTGCCCCTGTGAGTTTCTGAAACTGTAACTCTTTACCAGAGTAGAAAGCCTTGCCTTTCTCACAAGGAACTGCTGGTGGTTTTGAACTACTGACCTCGCAATTAGCAACCCAATAAATAGGTCTGGAGAAACGCTCTGAAATGACTATATTCAAGAAAACCCTATGGAGCAATTCTACCCCAAAACATGTGAGTTTTTCTATATGCCAGTTTTTCTAATGCCTTAGTCATCTTATTTATTTGTCATTGTGAAATCTTACAACAACAAAGTAAGTAGAAGCATGCCAATTTCACTAATAAGAAAATTAAAGTTCAGATAAATTTAATAGTTCCTTCAAGATCATGGGGTTTTCAAAGGAAGGACTGTTTTGATTCTAAAGCTTGCACTCAACTATGCATGTCAGATTGCCCACTTACACACACACACACACACACACACACACACACACACACTACTGGAGTTGGGGTATCATTTCTACTGGTTTACTATCCCTTTACAGAAGAACTGAGAGCATTAATAATTTGAAATGAGAATTGTCTTATGGCCAAACTCTAGATTGTGAACATGCCCTTGTGCAAGCTATTCCCTCTGCCCCAAATATAGCCTACCCCTCTCACCTGATGACCAAAGATAATAGTCAAATATCATTTTTCCTTCCCAAGGCAGAATTACCCACCCCTTTCCTCTGAATTTTCAAGCATTTTCCCCATATTACTATTATAGTACATACTACATTGTAGCTTAGTGATTTGGTTACTTGTTTTTCTATCACAGTGGATTGTAAACTCTTTACGAGGCAAAAACTATGTCTAATCCATCCTTGATTATTTCTCTTTACTCACTCAATCATAGATTATTTTTTACTTTTTACTCAACTTAGTTTATTTCACTCACTCAACTCTATGGCCCAGTCTGGGGCTGGGCTTAAGCACATAGCGATTATGCAGTTTAAAAAATAAAAAGGACACAAATAACAGCAAAAAAAAAAAGCATGGCAACTTCTCAGATGGATTTCAATATAAAGTGGTTTCGAGTATAAGTAGGAAAGCTATTTATTTATGTTTGTCTTCAATCTATTTATTCAAATGCTAGCCAGAAGGTTAGCCCAAAAGGTGTTTCAGAAGAAGGGTCATAACCTTGAATCCCATATGGTAGTGCAAGTTCTACTCTGCAACACACAAGGTCACCGTGAGTCAGAATCGACTCCACAACAACCAGGAAAACGAACTATCGAATTTGAGACACTGTAACATAAGCCTTATAACAGAATATCTCTAAGGTATCATAAAAATTATTTTCAAATTTACAAAGTATGAATCCTCCTTTCTTCTTTCATTGGAAAGATCATAAACCTGTCCATGACAGAGGAGTATATCTCTCTCAATGCCAAAAACTATGACTCAGATACACAGAAGAATATCAACAGATAAGGTATTTGTTTGGTTAAGTTTTCCTTGATCATAAATTCTATCACAGTTTGTGACTTATTCCTCAGTCTCTTTTCTGGAAGTTAGTGTAAGTGGGCTATAGTTCCAGTGAAATATGCTTAAGGCTTTGGGATAGAAGATTAAAAAGCCTATGGAATGGCTAGAAATGCTACATATCACAAGCAGAAACACATTCACAATGAGATGAGTTCATTCTCTTTATTTCAAGTGGCGTATTACCTCCTGTTGATGGTCAAACTCCTGGGATGCTGGTCTCTCCAATTGTGGGACATCTGGTCTTGAGCAATGTTCTCCTCCACTGAACTGATGGGCTCCACGCTCTTCAATGGCTCCTCGGCTTCCCTTACCTCCACGTTCTCTATTGCTTCTTCTTCCACTACCTTCGTGGTCTCCAATGGATGCACTCTCTCCATGGCTTTCATAGTTTCTGTAGGCTCCTTCCCTTTCATAACGTCTCTCTCCATCACCTTGCTTGCAGAGTCTACCTCTTCCACCTTTGTTGTAGCGTGGCCTGAGTATAAGCTCCAATTAGTGAAACAAAGCAAACCAACAAAACACATCTGAAATTCAGCAAGAAACCTGTCTACTATGTCCAGGCATGGCTTTGCTCAATGTGAACACTTTAAATTTAGCCTACTAGTATAACATAGACAAGGAAATACTCATATGTCCTGTCAATCTTGAATATTGAATTATCACAACCATTTGAATGGTAAAGGCTAGAGAACTTGCTTTCTTTGTTAGAAATATCAGGTAGGCTGTTAGCAGGAATATGCATTTTCCCCCTTAAATAATACAATAATTGGTGTACTAGCAAATGAACAACCACATGAAACATCAAGGCCGTATATTCTGCTCAATCGCAACATATTTAAATAGTCCTTCTTGAAATACATGTAGCTTATGGTATGTTAATCTGCCTTGATTTGAAAATGCATATTAACTGCTTTGCAACAAAATCTCATTAGCCTATTCCTATTACCAGGACATTCAGTAACAGAGATTTCATATTTTATATGATAGCCATCAAATTAGTTGCTAAGAATGGCAAACTTAACAAAATGCCCCAATGATCTGTTTTAATTCAGAGATAACATTAAACATGTGACTATAGTAATTGTAAAAGAAAATTTTCCTAGCAAAGTAATTCCTGGTAGATTTCTTTTTGTTGTTGGCCAATAATTGAGCTCTTGGCAATTTTACTATTAATTAAACAAATAAAGATCATCTTACTCCTCATTTAGATTTATTATACCCATGCTGGTATCTCAACTGTTTGAGCAATGCATAATCATGGAAATTAAAATTGTTATGTGAAGTTATCTAAAAATTATCAACAAGGGGCATGCCTATTTATTTGCAAATATGCTCATAAAAATTAGAACCCTTCACAACCTTCTCGGTTCTCCCTTTTTTCTACGGTTGTCCATCAACAAAAATTTAAGGTAAAAATGAGCGACACTGGAAAGATTAGCCTTCAGTGACTTCTGTGCACTTTCTCTTTGAACATTTTTCTCCTCTATTTCACGTTTCTAAATGTGGTTTAGATTCCAGAGACATGCTGGGCATAGCAACCAAGAAAATGGATCTTGAAGTACCTGATTAGCATCTAACATATATAATACAATTAGGGAATAAAAATTAATAATTTTAAGTTTGAGCAGGTAGACAAAAATCAAAGTAATTAAACCTTTCACTCAAGCATGCTTTAGATTACATACAAGAAGATAAAAAAATACAGTTTGCATAATGTTCTTTAGTATTTCAAGGGAAGAACAAATTCTTGGGTTAAACACCTCAAGCTAAAACAAACAATCAAACCCATTGCTATGAGTCAATTCTGACTCAGTGACCCTATAGAGCCTGACCGTAAATAGGGCTTCCTAAAATTTAGGGAAGCAGGGAGCCTCATCTTTCTCCCATGGACCTGCTGATGGGTTTGAACTTCTAACCTTAAAGTTAGTAGCCCAATGATTATTGCATAGTTATTCCCACCGGGGCTTCTTAACAGATCATCTCTTTCATTCATAAAAGAGATATTGGTGTATGAGTTTGGATTGATGGCAGGCCCGACCTCATGGGCCGGAACCATTGCCTGACTCTATCCCATGGGCGTCAGGCACTGAAGTGGGTTACACAGTAAAAATGAAAAAGGGAGAGAGATTGTTGGGCATATGGAGCACACCTAGGAGAACACACAGGAACGTTAATTGGTTTCCTCAAAATTTCAGCTATAAAATATTCTGTTACAGGATTCTGATTGCTCTAGGGTGGGGCTAAAGCAATAACACTTATCTACAGCTCTCAAGGCAACTCAGATCTTCCACTGGGATGATGAACCACTGCTACCAACATATTGATTCAAACTGTTCAGCAGACACGGTTACATTCATATTACATGTGGTGAGACCTTATTTGCAAGAACTAGTTCGCTGCTAAGAAAGTAGGCTTTTATTTTCTTTTTAGAGGAGTTCTTATTTCCATGGCAGGGATAATTTACAAATAAATACAAATGCTTAATAGGTAAATTGTTGTGAATCTCTAGATCAGGGCCCCCAAATTTACAATATATAATCTAGTACAGGACATATGTATTGGGACTGGTATTCTGCATTTTTAAGATGAACACTAGCAGATCCTAATGCAACTAACTGGCTTTCAGACTAAAACCCTTCATAAAAGAATAAGCCTTGTATTCAATAATAAAGTAAATGGTCAGTGCTGTAATTTAGTTATATACACTGTGCTCTGTAAATAAATTTCTTTGAAATTTATGTTCATTACAGTGATGATTTCTTAATACTTTTGTTAAGGTTTAAATCAGTTTGTTTATATTATACATATTCTTGTCTGTAGTACGTTTCCTTAAAGGGTTAAACGTGTAGCGATTACCCTTTCAGTTGGTAGGTTAACCAGGTGAGACAATATGCCATTGGGGGATGGGGGGTGGGGCTGGGAAGTTTAACAATACTTATATAGAAAACAAGGGGAAAATATGGCTGGTGTTATGTTCCTAATTGGACAATTTTGACTTAGTTTAAACCTAGCCTGTTGTGATCCAGGCCAAGTACTATGGACACCTGGGACTTTAGACTTTGTCCTTTTGAAGCACACAATTTTCACAGGCCACACCAGAGGGATACAATGTGGAAACCCCACTAAGAAAAGTGGGCTTTACCTTAAATTTGCTTAGAGCAGATTTAAGGAACTGACACACTTGCCTGGACTTCAGACTGTAACACCCTAGCGTGAGAAGTAGATGACTATTATCCAAGGTTGTGGAGTTGGCAGTCACTGGTCTTTGGTTCGGATTTCTTGCTTTAAGGGTGCCCAATGAATGGGGTGCGGGGACTACCATATATTCACCATTTTTATGCTCTCTTTGAATTTTGTGTACATGTGTTAGTCTGGCAGGCATGGTTCTGCCCTTGTGGATGAGTGCTACTGAAAGTCTTGCCCTCTCCTTAACACTTATTTTTCTTGAAAATAGTGTTCAGTAACATAAGCTTTTAATTTGTACAAGTAAATAATTCAGGTGTTGTGTTCTTAACAGCCGGCTATACCTGTATAATTTCTCTGTCTCAACAGTGTTTAAATTCTATACCATTTCCTAAAGTAAAGATACTATCAACAGAATTATCATATGCCCTAGGTGGATGATTTATGATATTCTCTATCAAAAATGTTAATGCTGTCTCTAAAATGAACCAGAAACATAAATAAAACATAGGTACATGAATGGATTTTAGCTCACACATAACTATAGCCCTAACTGAAGAACAATTAGTTCTTATGACAGGGCCGTACTTGATACTCTCTGCCATCAAGAGATTAGTGAAGATATGAAAATATAGATATCACCATATCAAAGTATGAGGAAGTAATCAGATGGTGACAGGTATCAGAAAGAACAGTGTCTGGGGTTCTTAAAGACTTGTCTTAAAACGAGCAGCTATCTAAGTGAGGTGCCAACATGGAAGAAGCTCACCCAGTACAGCCATGTCCAAGGATTATAAATAATAAAATCTAAATCAAGAGGAGAAAACGGTCTGAGCTGAAATTGTGAACACCCAGTTTGCAGAAGGTTATGCTTGACAGAAGAAGCCCAAAATCCATTTGCATGGATTAAACCTCTGGCGCATCCTGTGTACATACCAGGGATGTGGATAGACTTGCTAATGGACAGAAAGTGGTGTAAAGCTAATTATGCAGATGTAGTTGGGTTAACATGGAACATCTTATCATTTGATCTCCCTTATAACCCGTTTTAAAGTTATTTCAGCTTTTAATAGTTTGTGCTTTCTTTTCAATTGAAAATGTAACTATACAAAGGCAAGTTACAAAATATTCTACAAAATAAAAGAAACCTTTATTAAACAAAAAACATCAAAATGTGAAGTTATTGTTTATTGACATGTCTTCCATCTAGGTCTACACATGTCTGGAGGAAATGTTTTCATCCCTCTAACCCAGTGTATCCCTTTGGGGGGTCGAACGACCCTTTCACAGGGGTCGCCTAATTCCCTTGGAAAACACATAAATATTTCAAAATATGTAATTACATCATATTGTTTTGTGATTAATCACTATGCTTTATGTTTAATTGTGTTCAATTTGTAACAATGAAAATACATCCTGCATATCAGATATTTATATTATGATTCATAACAGTAGCAAAAATACACTTATGATGTAGTAAGGAAAAAAATTTTAGGGTTGGGGTCACCACAACATGAGGAACTGTATTAAAGGGCTGCAGCGTTAGGAAGGTTGGGAACTACTGCTCTAAACCTTTTGTGAAGAATTCTGCACTTTTTTCTTCACACTATAATCAAACAGCAACTTTGGCATCCTTGAGGAAAGCAAATTGTGTTCCTTTAAAAAAGAGAAGAAATCTGAAAGGGCTACAGGGTAGATGGGTTTAGGTTTCCTAATAAAATTTTCTTAGGACAGTCTTTGATTTCCTAACAAGCCCCTCTATGAGAAAATCTATCACCATTACCCTTTTGAAATTTCTCCAAATCGGTGCCATACTCTTCTGAGCGGACCTCTCTGCTATCTTAATTGGACCTTTTTTTGAAAAGCAGTAAGACAAGTATATTACTGATAGGACTTGTCTGCAGCCATCCATTGATTTCAGAGACATGATTAAGCATGTCTTATTTTATTTGGAATATACTTGTGCATGTATAAATCAGAACCTGTGTGCATGTATATCCTTTTTGATGCCATTGATATGGAAACCATGAATATATGTTAATGAGAAAACACCATTTCATTGGAGATAAGCAAGGAACTAAATAGACAGCAAGGAAAGATAATAAAAATACATAATAAAAGCATTATTTCACTAACTGATCATTTTGACAACTATTCAAAGATTAAAGTAACTGAGTGTGGACTTAAATGAGACACCCTCTTAATTGCAAGTATAAAATTACATTAGTAATCTGCATCCTGAAAAGAATGAGCAGTGAGAGGCGATTTTGTAATTCATTTTTTTCCTGAGCATTTTTAGATCTTTAGTTCACAAATACCTAAGGCTTCCTATTAGAGTTTTTAAAGAGCACACTTCATTTTCTTTACTATTTCTTATACCACTGTGCCTTCACAGGGTCATAAAATTCAGTAATTTTAACAGAAACAGCCAGGCATTTTCAGTCACAAAGAACCTAATAAATACTTGAAGGCTAACAAAAAAATATAAAATTAAAACAAAATTAAGTGTTCCATGTTAAAAAGCTCAAAATTTCTTATTGAAAATGAAGCTACTTAATGTATGCAAGTTTAAATTTATTTACCCTTTTGTTAACGAATTTTAAAAGTAAATAAAAAAATCATAGGGCTCTGAAATTTTTTCCTATAACACTCATAGTACACCTAATCCAGAATAACCAACCTTGGCCATTGAGGATCATCGTCGTCGTTACTGTCTTCATCCATAGCTTCATTAACCTGATCAATTTGGTAATGAAAGTTCTCATTTTCATGATCATAGGTATCTTCATAAGCATCATTAGAATCATCATCACCATCACTATTAGCATCAGCATCATAGAGTTCAACATATTCATCATCCTCTTCAGGTGACTGAATGACAGGTGCAGGCATTAACCAATCATCCCGGAAGATTTCAGAGAGTGCATTATAGCCCACCCATTCATTTGTCAAGTATACGGGGGGTGATATCTTTCCTACTTTAAATCCATCTGGAACCTGTGTGCACAAGAAAGGTTAATGTAGTCTCTAGTAGCCATTAATTTTCTTCTAGAATGGAAAGTTTCCAAGTTGAACGCATTTAAGATACATTTTTGTCATTGAGCTAAAGATGTTTACTCACTGAAAAGAACAAGCTTTTAGTGGGGATGAGATGGCAAAGCCCAAACCTCAGACTGTGATTATTCATGGCCTTTCTGGATCACACAGGAAAAATAGTTTTCTCATTTTTTATTAACGCTATTGTTAGCTGATGGAGTAGATATATGATTTTGAGGGAGGGCAATAGAATAGTTGATCTAATGCTCTAAGATGTAGTCACTTTTTGGGGGGCGTTTACTTTATCCCAATAGATTGGTTACTACAAGGCACTTAAATTGATGTTAATATCTCAGCGTCAGTTTTACACGTTTCACATTGACATCACAAACACCTCTAAAAAATAATGGAAATCCCTATTTTAAATCAGGTATGAGTGGGATAGCACCTTTAGAAGCCGGGGTGGTGAAAATGGTTCAGTGTCTAGTTGCTAACTGAAAGAATGGTGGGTTTGAGTCTAGCCAGATGCACCTTGGAAGAAAGGTCTCGAAAGCTACTGCTGAGCAATCAACTGTTAAAAACCATATGGAGCACAGTTCAATGCTGACAGGCAGAGATACCGGGAGTCAGAGCCAACTGGATAGCAACTGGTTTCGTCTGATTTTGGGATCATATTACACCTTTAGGCAGTGTGGATGGGATGTGTAAATGGTGCTTGTAGTCATCACTTATCTCTAAATGCCTCATCCTCCAAGAAATGATATTAGACCAAAATCAAGCATTTCTTTAAAACATATTCTAAATGACAGATGTGTAAATATAAAATCTTTTCAGATCAATCATTTCCCATTTTAAATTTCATTTATAGATTTCATATTCTGCATGCTAACATAACAATGGAAATCTGAAAAGAATTAATGAAAAATTAACCTCTAACCTTTTCCCCCCCTTCAAGTGGAGTTAAAAATGGAAGACAAAAAGTGGAAAATCAAGGAGAACAGACATAAATGTGTTAAGATCATAACATACATGGATGTCCATCAGCAACTTCTGATCAATAGTAGAATAAGGTGGGGATGACTGGGACCTCCTCCTAACCACAGGACTCTCCTCCTCAGAAGATGATTCTGTGGAAGGCAAGCAAAAGCAATACTGATGATTGTACATGGCACCTCCCCAATACCCTCAGTTTCCTGCCCCCACCCATTATTCTCTTATGACTCCATTCAGAACTATCAGCTGAAAAATTCCCATGAGGACAGGACCTCAAATTGCAGTTTTAAGGGAAAGTTCCAAATTTATTTCCTTTGTATACATGCATGTTCATTCTGTTTTCAATATTAAGCTGATACTGCTAATTATTTCTAATTTGTGGAAGAAGGAGAGATAGAGAATGGAAGCCAACTGGTATCAGAGTCCATTAAAAAAGAAGAAAACGCCGAGATATTAAGTGTAAGAAGGGATGAGCTGTAAGACTGGTCTTAAAAAGTAATAGAAAAATAATCCAACAATGTATTGGGAGATGATGGGTTAGCGAGAAATCTCGAGCAGAGTTGATTCTACAAGTGTAATCCCCGAATTTTCACTCAGTGATACGGCCATGAAGTGCGCAACTAAAACATGACAAAATTTAAAGCTTTTTCATATAGCTGGTGAGCTTTCTAAAGGAGTATTTTACATAGCAATAGAGTTTTCTGTGGTGAGAGAAATGATCCATGCCTGCCCGGTCCAATACAGTAGCCATTAGACCCATGTAGAGGTTGGGCAGTTTAAATATGGCCAGTGTGACAGAAGACCTGAATTTTAATTTAATTTATTTTTTAAAAATAAATTTAATTTATTACTCACATATGACTAGTAGCTATTATTTTAGATCACTCAGTTCTATAATGTAAATACTTTTCATTTGAAACACCCATTTTGATATTAAGAACTGGGGTATATTAAAGAATATCTCTGGCTAAATTACTTTTCATTTTCCCTCTTTTATTTACAGATTTGAAATACACAGTAAAGATATAGGCACTATAACTTTACTAAAAAGCATGACTTTGCAAACACTGCTGTAATTTGTATCCCCATACTCTAGCTAGCATTGTTATACTTTTGCCATTTATTATTTGACTGCAGAATTCTTTTAAATAGTAGTGTCATCTTGTTCAGAAATATTATGCTGTCAAAACTGAGAAGCATTTTCTCTCAAGTCTCTTGGGATAGTTATTAGACGAAAAAAAAAAGAACGGGTGATTTTTGGGACTTTGAGAGGAACTTGTAGTAGGCACTCTTATTTCTTGCATGATGAAGCATGGAACTCATGGGAACACATGCAAAATCATGGAATTTTAGAGCTCAAAAGAACGTTAGCTATCCTCTGAACAGATGCCACTCCACTACGTCTTCCTCTCTTTTTGGTTCACGACTGTTTGGGGGCCTAATAAATAATGTCCCTATTTCAAAAAGGCAAAAATTAATACACACGAATAAGCCTTGATGTTTAACTGTTTTCCAGTATTAGTAAAATTAACCATATCAAACCAGAAAAAAAAGATTATAGAGCCATAAGGGTAAGGATTTTAAAGCTACTCTACACTCAGGCTTCTCTTCTTTTTCACAGCATAGTACTTCTGAACAAGATGATACTACTATTTAAAAGAATTCTGCAACTATAGGAGTCTATGAAAAATTAGATCTGTAGAGTTTTTAAATTCAGCTCTTTGAATGTTTGAATTTAATTAACTATCTTTTCATTATTAACATTTGATAAAAATATGCATACTATACTTTTATAATCACCAAAAAATTACAGGCACTAAGTCAGAGACATCCTTCACTCATCTGGATTGCTGATATGTTTAATGTCAGATTTTATAATCCAAAGCTTTTTGCTTATCCTAGTATTCCAACTCTAATAATTCATTTAAACTCCCTCAAAAGCACATGTTAACTTAAAGCACTTGTTTGGAATCCTTATCACTGTTTATTGTTTTCTTTGATTAGATTAATTCTTCAAGCCTTCTTAATAAAAAATATCAACTTGCAACATTTATAGATATTTGAAAAATAATGTATATATCTTTTTGGGGGGGAGATAAAATAACAAACTGATAAATAAAACATATGCCCACAAGTATTTCATCCAATCTTCTAAAAGTTGCCTATGAATTTTAATATGTTGGAGAGCACTGTAAGTTATTTTCTCATATTTTTCTCACTTGGTACAGAAGCTAATAAATATTTCTCCCCCTAATCCCTAGTCACATTTCTAACTATACTACACTGAAAGAAGAATATTAAGAAATATTATGTTCTACTTCTCAAAGGGTACACTGACCACCCAACTGCCAAATCCAATGAGCTCCTGGTTCTACTCTTAGTTGAGCTTTCTTCATATATTTTTAGAGCTAATCCTCTTTAGAATTCTTATCTTGATTTCTGCAATAAAACATGAGATCTATGTTTGACTATTGAAATGTTATGCTTTGAATCACCTGATGCTGCTGGACAATTCTGAGGATTTGGTGCACTTCTTTGTCTGACATCAATGGGTCTCGGAGCTTGTTCCAAAACAGCCTCCTGAGGAATACTAATGAAAAGACAGGAGAGCATATACCGTGTGTTAACAGTCACGAGGGACAAGTCAAACATCATGAAAACCAACACCACGTGCTTGCTGAAAGTTATGGCAGGAGAGTTGCAGTAATATTTTCTAAATTCCTTTTTTGATTTTGTTAAATCTATTTTATTTAAAACTCAGAAATCATTCCCAAAACATAAACATAAAAAAGTGTGCATAAAGTAAATATTCACTTTTATTTTTATTTCTTTAAAAAATCCTGTAAACTCTCTTGAAGCTAATATTTGGACCATGATATTATATGGGTAGCGCAACAATAAATAAAGTCTTCTGGTACATGTAAAACTTTGAACATGATTTCTTAAAAAGCCAGGTTGGATAAATAAACATTTTCTTTACACTTTAGTTCTTACACTTCAAATTCATGGAATATATTAAAAAGTTGTTTTGCATAAGTGTTGCTTTATTTCATATTAGCTTTGGACTTTGTACATAGAAAGGATGGTGATTTAAACCCAAAAGAGACAAAATAAGTGTTTTCTATGGTGCCAAACTTGAGGAAAATCTCACATTTCACTTAAATTGATTTTATGAATGTCACCATATTAAAAAACAATATATTTGCTACCCATAAATTCAAAAATCCTCTCATCAGTTGAGCAGAGTAAGATTGAATACTGCAAGTTAGAGTGTCATGAAATGATTCCCCCATTATATAAAAAAATACTACTCAAAATACTACTAATTTCTTAGCTTTGTGGTCAGAAAACCATAAAAACCCATTCATGGGTGCAAATAAAGTTCTTAGTCTTGGTTTCTGATTTTCAAAGATTTCTAAACACCAGTTAAATCTAAGAGTGTGAACATAAGTGATTAAAAACATATTGCACACTTCATACTCTCAACACTCTGCCATCTGTCCAATATCACAAATACAATAAGAACTCCATCAACCTTTATTGAAAGATCAAATGAATGATTCTGTTCATTATAAGTCGTGAGTGGAGGGAATATAATTTTCATGGGAGATCTATTTAAAATTTGTCATTGAAATTTAACACACTGCCTACAATATCTAAATTATGGAGCATGATCTTTAAAACATACCAAACATCACTGATGTTACACTGATTTTAACTGCAGCCAATATTATATTTTGGGTTTTAGATTTTATTTTAACCATAAAATATTTAACCATATTTTAACCATTTTCAGTCTTGTTTATTCTGTGAAATTAACTTCTGTAAGGATAATTTGATACATATTAAAAAATCACTTTGAAATTTCACATACTTTTCCTAATTAATTAAAATTTAAAATCTATCACAAGATTCGTTTTTTTAATTAATTCTAGATCTTACCAGATAATTATCAATTCAAATGACATGGAACTTGTTGTACAGCCAAATGTCAAAGTCCTAGTTAATGGCTCATTGAAGTTGAGATTTAAATGTTGACCAATAATGTCAATAATTATGCTGTCACCAATAATTGGTCTTGATTTCATTTAGAACTCGACATCAAAGAAATAAGTTTGAGTTTTCTATGGGATGGTAAATTGCTACACATACCTTGGAGAGAATGTGACACGGTGTGCACGATCCTGGTTGCAAGGCCTCGGAGCAGATCTTTCCTGAACCTAAAGGGTACAATTAATAGTTCAGTATAATTCTCAATAATCATTCCTTATGAGCTATTAATTTACGGGAAGATGCACTTCTTCACAAAGGGATATTTTCCTAAAATTCCAACTTGGAAAATCTGATTTCATACATCGATTTTACGTTCACAATTACTTGTTGTGTAACATTAGTACTGCTTCATGATAATTTTAACTGCTTAAGTATGATGTCCTGGGGTCTAATTTCATCATCTGCTATAACATAACAGAATGTTAGTGCAAAAACAAAATCTGGATATCATATAATAAAGTGTTCTCATTTTATTGTTGAGGAATTTGTAACCTATACAGACAAAATGACTTTTTGAAGAAATTTACACCACGTCGGTGGGAGATTTAGAACTAGAATATGAGTCTCTCCAACTCCAACTTCAAGATCTCCATTTCATCATACTGTCTTTTATGACAAGTCCAAATGCCTCACTCAACATTTACTTACTCTTTCTAGCTAACCCTAAGTTTCTTAAGGTTTTACAACACAAATATAAGCAGATGCACATTGTTTTGTTGTTTTTTTTAAATCAATTTATTGGGCCTCATACAATTCATCACAATACATAGATCAATTGTGTAAAGCACATCTATACATTTGTTGCCCTCATTATTCCCAAAATTCGCTTTTTTCCCCTCCCCCTCCCTTCTTCCTCCCCTCTCCCCCATGCACCCTTGATAATTTATAAATTATTATTGTATCTTATATTACACTATCTGGCGTCTCCCTTCACACACCCCTCTGCTGCCCGTCCCCCAGAGAGGAGGTTATATGTAGCTCCCTGTGATCCATTCCCCCTTTCTACACCCCCTTTCCCTCCTGGTATCACCACTGTCACCCCTGGTCCTGAGCGGTTCATCTGTCCTAGATTCGCTGCGTTTCCAATTCCCATCTGTACCGCTGTGCATCATCTGGTCTAACCAGGTGTGCAAGGCAAAATTGGGGTCCTGGTAGTTGGGGGGAGGAAGCATTTAAGAACTAGAGGAAGGTTGTGGGTTTCATTATTGCTATACTGTACCGTAAATGACTCATCTCCCCACTACCACTCTGCAAGGTATGTCCAGTTGTCTAGAGATGGGCATTGGGTCTCCATCACGCGCCACCCTCATTGACGAGGATATGATTCCCCCCCACACACCTTTGGTGTTTAAAGCCTGGTCCCTTTGGCCCGTCATGATCACACATGTTGGTGTGCTGCTTCCATGTGGGCACATTGTTATAGAGTTGATGCTGGCTCACATGTACCCCACAAGACAGGCTAGAACTGCCCTTGGGGTTTTCTGGGGAGAGTAGAAGGCCCCGCTTTTCTCTCACGTAATTTCAATAGTGCTGACATTGCAGTTAGCAAAACAAAACTTAACCCTCTATGCCACAAGTGCTCCTTCTTTTTAAGGTATCGTGAATAAAAGTTAGTAAGCAGTTTTCTCCTCCATAAAATGACTTATCAAGTCTTTCTCTAACAAACAGGTGAGAAATGAAAATATTTTGCTATTTTTTCATGTTTTGCTAATAAAAGCTTCCAAATAGAATGAAGTATCTGGCAGTATTCACAATAATCATCTGCCTACCGTTCTCCTTTCAATTTCGGTCTTAATCCTATAAGCCCAATCTGGGCCTCCTTCTTTGTGAAGGGTTGATGCCAGAAAGTTTATTGATCCTAGTAAACCGAAGGTGAAAAATCACTCAAAATAGATGATAGTAACAAGAAGAAAGACAAAGCTGGAAATATTTGGCCTGAAAAGTGGGGAGAAAACTGTTTCGAAAGACTGGAATATACAAAACAAATGCTGCATCTTGAGTTAGAGCATATCCTATCATATTTTCTGCTTAAGGTGTCATACTTAAGGTAAAAATGATTAGCTGAGATTAAGAGTAAAGTGTTTAGTACAGTAAAGAGGAAGACATACTGCTTCTGCTAATTAAAAAACAAGATCACATTTATATTTCTTTTGCAAGTGGTTTGGTTTTTATAAAATAGCACTTCATTACTTATTCAGAGGACCAGTCACATCATGGAGCATGTATTTAAAAGAGACTTGTTTGTGAAAGACTTTACAGTAGGCTCTGTGACGCATTCACAAAGAAGTAATGTGATCTGGGCCTTTGTGCTAAGTAGGAACAAGGCAGTCTTGACCCATCATCAACAAGGGAATCATTTGAGTTCTTCATTTAACTGCTAAGTGCTCAATTACTAAGCCTTAGTGACCAAGAATTATGTAGATGCTTGGATGTTAAGATACTGGCTAAGGTGATAGTAGCTTGTTCAGATAGCGTTTGAACTCACAATTCTGGCTTTACCAATACCACGTGCTAACAAGCATGATATGATCAATGAAATAGTATAAAGACAAATCAGTGAGGACACTGGGGATGACTTTTTCTCATAAATTTTTTAAACATAGTTCACAGCTAAAATTATTCACATAAGGCCATAAACTGCACCCCAACATAGGAAGCACTCAAGGCAAAATATAATGTTCAATTGTGTTACAAGTGTCAGTATCCACTTTTTAAAATGGACAGTATTTTTCTTAAAGGATGATTAACAACCTATGATCTCTCAGAACTTAATATTAGTAGATGTATTATTTTAAATGATCAATGAATGTCTGTCAATTCAGTAAAAAGTGATAATATTTATAAACTCACCGCCATCATCAAGCCAATGCTAACTCATAAAGATCCTGTAAAACAAGGTAGAACTGCCCCTGTGGGTTTCTGAGACTGAAACTCTGTATGGGAGTAGAAAGTCTCCTCTTTCTCCTGTGGAGCAGCTAGTGGTTGAGAATTGGTGATCTGGTGGTTAGCAGCCTAACGTGTAACTACTATGCCCCCAGGGCTTTATTAGCAATGATAAAATTTGGGCTTTCAGGTGAACAGTAGAAATTAGAAAACTTGTATCTCCTATCACACACTTAATAGCTTCCTAATACTCAGTACTTTTATGATGATATTAATGGTCACACTAACAAATATTATTTTTATATTGTACATTAAAATTTATAGCACCCTGGTGGAGTAGTGGGTTATGCATTAGGCTGCTAACTGCAAGGTCAGCAGTTCCAAACCATCAGCATTTCCTCAGGAGAAAGATGAGGCTTTCTGTTCCCATAAAGAGTTCCAGTCTCAGAAACCCATAGGAGCAGTTCTACTCAGTCTGAGTAGAACTCACTATGAGCCAAGATTGATTCAATGGCGGTACATTTGAAGTTTGCTACATTAGAATGTGTAAATATTCAAAATATATGTATACAAGTGAATCTATATTTTCTAACTAATAGCTGATGTTACAATATTAAGCAGGAACAAAATATCTATTCATAGGGCAGGGTAGACCAATGGATCTTAATGTTATGGCATATGCAACATTTCACTGGTATTATTTTAAATTCCATTTCTCTCACTGAGATAGAAAAGGACAAATATTGGATGATCCCAATGATATACACAGTGGTTGCAGTTATGGCCTTAAGCATAGCAATAATTGTGAGCATGCAGAGCCAAACACCATTGCTGAGTTTGAACCAAATGGACAGAATGTAACCACAACATGGAGATCAAAGCTTACTAGAAGATACCTAGGGCTGGAAACAGGGAGTGAAAGAGCTATTTCTGGAAAAACACAAAACAACACAAAAACTAAGTATCTAAGAAGCCTTGGTGGTGTGGCGGGCTGTGGATTGGGCTGTTAACCACAGGGTCAGTAGTTTGAAACTGCTAGCGGTTCTGAGGGAGAGGGATCAGGCTTTCTGCTTCTGTAAAGATTTGCAACCTTAGAAATCCGCTGGGGAAGGTCTGCTCTGTCCTATAAGCTCACTATGAGGCACAATCAAAAAATAAAATAAATAAATTGTATTTCTCTAGTTTTGGTACATTATTAAAGAATATTCACAATGATCTGAAAAAGGTATGAAAATCTTGCCTTTCCAACTACCTATTTGCAAGAAGCCAGCTTTCCCTCATACCCTCCAGCAAAAACAGCATATGGAAACAGATTTAATACAGAAGCAGATATGAGAATCCAGCTGCCTTCCATTAGGCTAAATAGATTAGAGAGATCTGTTGAAATATAAAGCAACGGCAACATTCTAATTTTTTGTTGTTTGGAAAAATAGTTACTTTTCATTAAAGTGCTTTTTATATTGACATATGAGTTTATTATTTTTTAATGAATTACTAAATACATTTTTTCTAATTAAATTCATAAAACAGAAAATGTGGAATCGTACAACCCAAAGGAACAAAAGCTTTTTGGCGTACTGAATAAGGTACAGTAGTAAGAAGGGACCTTGAGACCAATATGTTTGAAAACAATTGTCATGGGCCCTTAGACTGAGGTATTTACCTCATTTTCCATAGGATTTGCGACGTGTTGCTGCACTGGTTCTATTTGGACTTCAGCTTGAATGGAATGAAGTACTTCATCATTGTCGGACGACTCATCTTCATTGTCCTTTAAAACAAACGGGCAGGGGGAATGTAATCACTGTTAAAAATGCAGATAATTGGCATAACTATTTCATCTATTGAATATATATTTTAAAGGAGTAATTTCCAAACAGGAAAAACGGAGTTAAAGCTTGTGGCTTCCATTCTTTTAGCTCTGAATTTCTTCCAGAATCCAAAGGATGGTTGTTTAGTAAAGTAAGCTGTTTTCACTTTACGTTTTGGTCCTCCTGCTGCAATAGGAAAGTCTCCCGTAATGCGGCGTAAATATTTCCAATTGAGCTCAAGGAATTTGGGAAAGATTCTGTTTTACCATTTTTAACTGACTTAGCTCTTCAACTCAAAGAATAATGAAAATGTGTTTCTTTTCCACTGGTGAGTTGAAGCACCCACACTCCTCTAATAAACTCTGATAGAATCTCAAGCAGTCCAATTTGTAACCACTATACCACCAGAGCTCCCACAAAGTACATTTATCCATGGGGACACCATGAGTCAGAGCCAACTCAAAGGTTCACTCTCGACCAAATATCACAATTGTATACTCATAGCTCTCCTCTATGTGATTTCCTTCTCTTTATATCTTCCTCCACTTCTGGGGGTGAGGCCTCCATTGTCCCTTTGGGGCCTTCCCTTATACAACATGTTCATCATATCTGGGAAATAGCACTTTTAAATTGGCATAATGAGCAGAAACCAAAAGACTCATTATCCAGACATTGAGACAAGGCTCATGCGTAATTACTACATTAATTTATATTAAATAGGTGGTTGTGGATGTCAGGGCTTACGTTAGGATCATCACAATAAGGTAAATGGATGCTGTTAAGAATTAGAAAACAGCTGTCTCCTAAGCTTTGTTACCTAATTAATATGATTAGCAAATCCACAAACCCTTCATTATCAGATTATATTTGCCAAATTCAATTCAACAACTCCAGTCAAATTGTATCTACTTATATTAGAGGACTTTGAAAAAATAAAGTTTTATCGGCCCTTTCTAAATTTAATCTATTCAGATAATATAATATACCACTTTATCTACTGTGTAGAGAGGCCAATTGGTAACTTTTCTCATGTCCTGAGCAACTACATAATTGATAATTATATACAAAGTTGACAAAAAAATTAGACAAGCTGTAAATAAGATATCCATATTCAGAAGCATTCAAAAAGGGTTTTCTGAGGATTTTTAGCCTTGAGTTAAATACCCTGAATTACAAAATTACAAAAATGAGGGAAATTCACTTAAATAGCCAAGTTAAGTGATCTAGATAGGAAGAAAGAACAAATAAATTTAAAGGTTTAAAGAATGAAACAAAAATGTTGATTATTTTTAATGTTTTTAAGTTCAAGTTTTCACTTATGAAAATAATTTTAGATAATACAACTTTAATTTCCAACATTTATATGGTGTGCCTTTCTTGCTTGGTAACAAGTAGAAAATGAATGATTAAAAGACCTATCTCTTTGTTACATTACCCTTGATCATGCCCTAACAGGCCTCCCACAACCACCTCACCACAAGAGGAACTGCTGAAACCCTCGTGGGGACTGAGCATGATAGTGCAACAGGAGGAAAGTCAAGGGAAATAGAGGAAAGAGCTGGGAGGCAAAGGACATTTATAGAGGTCTAGATAAAGGCATGTACATATGCAAATATATTTATATATGAGGATGGGGAAATAGATCTATGTCCACATATTTATAGGTTTAGTATTGAGGTAGCAGAAGGACATTGGGCCTCCACTCAAGTACTCCCTCAATGCAAGAATACTTTCTAATAATAAATTGGCATTCTGTGATGCCCACCTTCCTGACACAACCGCTGAAGACAAAGCGGGTGAATAAGCAAATGTGGTGAAGAAAGCTGATGGTGCCTGGCTATCAAAAGATAGAGCATCTGGGGTCTTAAAAGCTTGAAGGTAAACAAGCAGCCATCTAGCTCAGAAGCAACAAAGCCCACATGGAAGAAGCACAACAGCCTGTGTGATCACGAGGTGCTGAAAGGATCAGTTATCAGGCATCAAAGAACAAAAAATCATATCATTGTGTGCTCACCTCCATGATACGATGGCTGAAGGCAAATGGGTGCATAAGCAAATGTGGCAAAGAAAACTGGAGTGCCCAGCTATCAAAAGGTATAGCGCCTGGGGTCTTAGAGGCTTGAAGGTAAACAAGCCGCCATCTAGCCCAGAAGCAACAAAGCCCACATGGAAGAAGCACAACAGCCTGTGTGATCACGAGGTGTTGAAGGGATCATCTTACCATAGTGCATGACGAGGGGAGTGCAGAGTGGAGACCCAAAGCCCATTTGTAGGCCACTAGAGATCTCCTTGCAGAGGGGTCTCGGGGAGGAGATGAGCCAGTTAGGGTACCTTGCAACTCTGGCTAGACCAGAGGATGTACACTGATACAGATAGGAACTGGAAACACAGGGAATCCATGGCGGATGCTCCCTTCAGGACCAGTGGTGTGAGTGGTGATACTGGGAGTGTAGAGGGAGAGTGGGTTGGAAAGGGGGAACCGATTACAAGGATCTACATGTGACCTCCTCCCTGGGGGATGGACAACAGAAAAGTGGGTGAAGGGAGACGTTGGACAGGGCAAGATATGACAAAATAATAATTTATAAATTATTAAGGGTTCATGAGGGAGTGGCGAGTGGGGAGGGAGGGGAAAACATGAGGAGCTGATGCCAGGGGCTTAGGTGGAGAGCAAATGTTTTGAGAATGATGAGGGCAATGAATGTACAAATGCGCTTTACACAATTCATGTATATATGGATTGTGATAAGAGTTGCATGAGCCCCTAATAAAACGATTAATAAACAAACAAAAATAATATTTTTCAAAGCAAAAAAAAGACCTATCTCTACCGAGTGGATAATCTAAAGAATTACCTGAAGCATTCACATAAACATTTTTTTCTCAACTATAATCACAATTACTATTTAGGCAAAATCTGGGACACAATGGATATTTAATTCATTTGGTTTTACAGAAGAAAACATGAATATAAACTAGCATATTATCTCTACACATGTAAAAATATTGGAAACTCTTACATTTGCCACTTGTCTCAATTCTTCTTCGTGCTGATTAAAGATATCCTCCCATCTGTATTGGCGCCTTCTTCTGAGGGTCTCTAAATCTTGAAACTCTTCAGATCTTCGTGATAACCTTCCACGAAATCTCTTTGGTGAAAGTCGTTTTACCAGGGCTTGCCTTAGACTAGAAACCTTCGACTTTTTCTTCCGTGCCTGCTCTGGCTGAGAGTAAAACATGTTTGCGGACAGGTTTTCCATCAAGGTTTGCAGCGGACCAAGTGGCTTTGAGTTATGTGCGCCTGGTGCCTGAAGCAAGTCTCTTGATAGTCTCTCTATGAGTGCCTGAACTGAACTAAGTATCTGTTGGGGCTCTAGTGCCCAGGACTGTGCCTGAGGTATCTCTCCAGTTGGCTCCTCTACAGGAATAAGCACCTGAGTATCCAAATGTAGTGGCAACAGCACATGGTGGTTTTGGGACAGAAGCGGCAAGAATACCTGTGCGTGGACTTGTAATGGCTCAGGTTCGTCTGCTTCGATCTCTTCCTCTGCAGGATCAGCAGCCTGCTCCTCTAACTCTGGCTCTTCAGGTACTTGGTTCTGCTCCAACTGCTGTTCAGGTGCCTGTTGCTGCCCCTGCTGCTGTTCAGGGGCCTGGCCCTCTCTTTGCTGTTGTTCTGGTACCTGATCTTGCCCATGAAACTCCTCTGGGACCTGGTCCAGATCCTGTGGTTGTTGTGATACCTGAGTCTGAGCCTGGGGCTCAGCCTGCTGTTCTTTGACTACTTTGGCCTGTCCTTGTACAGATCTACGACCCTTAAGCTGAGAGTATAGTGGCATGAACACCTGGGCTGCCTTCTGGAATCGTGGAGGTGTCTTGATCTGCATCTGTAATGGCCAAGGTACCTTAAACTTAACCTGAGCCTGTAGTGGCATGAACACGCAAGCTGCCTGGTGCAGTTGCGGAGGTGCCGGGGCCTGCCCCTGTGGAGCCTGTAGTGGTGTGAGAACCCTGGCTGCACCCTGTAGTTGCTTCAGTGCCTGAACCTGTGGCTCTACTTGGTCAGGAAACCACCGTGGCTGAGAGCGTTCTCTATGGAGCACTCTAAGTGGTCTGCATCTGCTGCTGGTTGGCATTCTCAGAAGCTCCTGAGTACAAGATGATCCTCTGAAATGAAACATATAAGTGAATGCCACACAATGAAGACTTTTCAGTGTAAATTCTTTTCTTTTAAAAGTTGGGCGTTTGCTGCAGCAAAGCTATTTTCAATAAGCATTTCCAGAATAATTCTTTGAATGACTGAAATGTCCTTTGTATTAATATACCCAGTTATGAAAGGAGCTAGATGACGTACTTGATCATTCTGTTGCCAGATATTAAGGACACTTGGGTTAGTAATAAAATACTCTCCTCAACATTTCCTCTCCATGTCTCTTGAAAAGAGACACATTATTTGCTATATCAAAAAGGATCAAATGTTTGGGCATCATATGCAACACTCTTATAGGTAAATAGCTATCAACAATTTATATACATAATTGGTGTAACGTACCTGAATCTGTTAATCTTGTATTGTTGTTTAACAGCTTCTTCTCTTTCAAAGACTAGAGGAATCCCTTTTATGAAAGATAAAATAAATACCAAATAAACATTCAGCAAAGGCTTGTATGCAGCTGGAAGAAGTGCCATTGCAATCAATCTTGAAGCAGACTTGAGTAGGCCCTGGTGGCTTAGGGGAATACCGCTGGGCTGCTACCCACAAGGTCAGCAGTTAGAAACCAGTAGCCGCTTCTCAGGAGAAAGATGAGGCTTTCTACTCCCGTAATAGATGCTTATGTTTTTTTTTTTAATTACATTCTTTAGTTACAGATTGGTAACTAAATAAAACAAATTGGCAAATAAAACAAAACTTGCTTTATTTGTTGTATAATTACTTCAAAATTATCAGGCACCAAATACAGTATCTCAGTAGTTAAATAAAATAGCAAAAAAGAAAAATAAGATAATTTTTCCATGCTATTAATTTTTTTTCTTTGCTTAGAACTTGACTAAAAATAAAACTGGCACATTGTAAAATTGTGTTTGAGAATTTGAAGATCTTTGTCAATATGAATATTTCTTGGCAGTTGTAATTAGGAATATATATATAGAGTATATATGTATATGTGTCTACATATACATACCTAAATATTCTCAAGCCCAGAAACCCAGAGAAGTTGCTTAAGCTCCATTCTTGCAAAACTTAAATAGCAAAGGCTTGAGAAATTTTATTTTCCATATAATTTTTAAAGGAATATTTTATCTTCCTGAAAATACATTGTGTTCACACCTGAACAATCATTCTATAAATTCTACCTTTTTCCTGCCTCTTTTTAATGATTCCAGTAAGGTGCTTCCTTAATGTCTCCACAACGTGTCCTTCGTTTTTTAGATCTTTAACAAATGTGTGATGAAGCATGGTTGTAGAAGTAGGACGAAATAGGAAATTTTTTATCATGCACTTTTCCATGAAATTGTGGAACTTGCGAGACCTAAAAAGAAATGAATCAAAGTGGGGGTGGGGGGAGGAAAAATGAGTCAAAGGGAATAAAAGAACATTCTCAGACCTGAAAAACCTCCATAGCCCCACACAAATGCCACTTAATAGGTTATAATTTCATAGATGGTTGTGTAAATCTATTAATAGTCTTTTCAACTGCCCGATATTCTATAGCTTTATAATACACATTATCCAGCAATGTCATTTAAATTTCAGAAGAAGAAACGAGTCAATGACATTGCCTATCCAAATTTGAGTAGAAATTTCAATGAGATCAACTTTATGTACATAGTAAAAAAATGAGGTTGTGGCTATGGCAGTGAAATTATTTATGCAGTACATGTAACTATGAGATACATTGGTCAGCCAACAACAGTCATCCTCTCAAGCCTGAGTTTCCCTTTATATATGCACTTTGAACTGCAAAAGCACTGGTACAATGATCCAAAATGTGGGTGTTACTAGCACCAAAACTAAACCATATTATAAAATAACCCATCAATAAATGTTGCTAGAGACCCTGATTCCGTGGATAGGGTTCAACTGAATCACAAAGAAGAATGTCATCAATCAACCCATAGTCATCACTTCTACCAGGGCAAGCTATAAATACTAAGAATAAATAAATATTCTTGATACTAGGCCAACAAGTTTTATATCAGTGGTGTTACTACCCTCTTTCCCTGAAAGTAAGCCATCCCCCCAAAATAAGACCTACTTACAGTTTTGCCTCTCACTGAAATATAAGGCATCCCCCTTAAAATAAGTCCAACCCCCCAAATAAGGCCCCCTTAAGCTACTGTAACTCTGGATTGCAGCTGCAGGTGCCGCCACGCAGCTCACTGTTAGCCACAGCGCAGCCGGAGCCGACAGGAAGTGTGTGGTCTCTTTTAATAAAACAATAAACAATAAATGTGTACTGTATTCTTCTTCATGGAAAAATAAGACATTCCCTGAAAATAAGACCTAGTGCATCTTTGGGAGCAAAAATTAATATAAGACACTGTCTTATTTTCGGGGAAACAGGGTAGGAGGGGCGGGTGGGGAGGTGTTTGGACTGAACTGGATGACAGAGATCTTGTGAGGGCATGACACCAAAATGACTGTCTATAAAGATTGTTGTGCCATGTTTCAGTGGAAATTCATTATCTTTTATAAAAATATTCCTGTACTTAGTTATATCATAAACATTTTTCATAAGCTCAGCTTACATGTATCAATATCAATAGACCTACAAGGCTAAAACTCTATCCTAATTTACCTTTTGAATCTTCTAATATGCTCTGGTCACAGATGTCCTTACCCGTGTATAATGGCACTTATAATGACACTTCAAATCACATGGTTTCATCTGCATGTACTGCTGCATGCACTGTTTGTTTTTGTAGTTAATTTTGTCAAATTTTCTGATGTTTTAGCTACAGTGTTGTGGTGATGATTATGTGTGTGCACCATCTATCAATAATTTTCTGAGCATGAAGTAGTTCTTAATGGAGAAAAATTAAAAAGAGCTTCTTCTCGGTTACTAATATAAAGAATAAGGTTGCAACTCAATGTAGAAATGTTTACACAGCAATTTTGTTGTTGGCATTCAACTAAATAAAAAAAATAAGCCAGTTAAGCAATTGTCAACTACATTTATCACATCCGATTCAGTAATTAAAATGGACAAGAAGCAGGGCTTAGGATTCTCCAAGGAGCCCTGGGGAGATGGTTACCTTTGGGTTGTTAAACTCAGAGTCAACACTTTCAATCCACCAATTGCTCTGCAGAAGAGAGATGCGACTTCTGCTCCAACAAATATTTATAACCTCAGAAGTCCTAGAGGCAGTTCTACTCTGTTGCCGTGAGCTAGAATCCAGCCAATGGCAGTGAGCTTGGTTTTTGGATTTTTGTGTGTATGGTTTGGTATATGTAATTACCTGTGGTCTTCTATGGGAAGAGGTTGGTAGAGTGGGAGCATGAGACCATGAGTTCCTTCACTAGTTGCACCAAACTAGTGATGACACTGCTTCAGATAGAAGGGTTCACAAGTTTGGCTGAGCTCTAGCACCTTGGGGAATACCTTAGCTGCTTTAGGTCTATAAAAAATTAAATGGACCAAACAATAGGACTGTCCATCACAAACAGTGATTGCCTTTCTAAGTACATTGAGCAATTTCATACAGAGTTGGCATTGGAAAAACCCATTACTGTAGAAACAACTAATGGAGAGAAAATGTTTTGAGAAACGATGTACAAATGCGCTTTACACAATTGATGTGTGTATGGATTGGGATAACAGTTGTATGAGCCCCTAATAAAATGTTTAAAAAGAAAAAAAAAAAGAAACAACTAAACATGCCTGTTATGGGCAGGGTAGTAATGCAATCATAATGTACCATGAAATTACTTATTTCTAGTTGGCTAGTTAGAATTTAATTAAAATTGACCATTTAAAGCATTCCAGTTAAGATACTGGTTTTCAGAATATACTGTCAAACAATAGTGGTGAAGTAGGACTGATCAAGTGAATTAAAACATCTTGGCTACATAAAAATACCAAGTTAATGTGTTTAGGAGATTAAGGTATTCATCTTTACCATCCACTGGATTTGACTTTGGGAGCTGATTCCCGTAAAATAACGAAGAGCGCTTCCAAGGGCTGGAGGTTACACAGAGCTACAAAAGGGAAATAGATGAGTTTAGAAAAAAATGACAAGGCTAATTCCAGAGCACACTCCTCATTCCAGAGGGGATTTTCCATGTTCTTCCACATAGGATGCTTTATGGGCATTAAGGAACCAGTAGATACAAAAGAATGTAGGTTAAAGGGCAAGCTCATTTTAATACAAACAGTATAGTATCGAAGATTCTAAATGTTCACCATCTCTACGTGTGTGAAATGCAATTGACAAACCAATAAATTAAAATAAAATTTTAACTGTTTTGATCACTTTTATCTAGAGAAGCAAACCAGAAGTCAAGACAACACGCTTCTTTTTTTGTATTGCAAGTCTACGGTGTTGAAAAATTGGAAGATATCATTTATAGGATGAAAAAAGTCAGTTAGGCTAATATGTACAATGATATAGGAAAGAAGAGGAGTTAGTACTTTGAAAATCTGAGAAACATCTTTTTGGGCTATTGATTGTTCTAGAAAAAGAAGCAACTTTGTGCAATTGAGAGCACACCCTCTAAAATGAGGTGGTGGTTGGTGTTCATTGCCGCCAAGTCGACTGCGGCTCACGGAGACCTAATGTGTGCAGAGTCGAAGTGCTCCACACGTTTCTCAAGGCTGTGACCTTTCAGAAGCAAGTCACCAGGCCAGTCTGTCCAGGTGCTTTTGGGTGGGGTGGAACGAAATCCTAGCTCTATTGGTGATCCTGGGTTTATGTGTGCTTTGACTTTTTCATCTGAAAAATGGAAAATGTGTCGGAAATTCCTCCATAGACTTGCTGTGAGGGTTAAATGGCAACTGATATTTAAACACATCTGGCATTTGATAGACACTTAATAAATATTGACTATTAATATTTTAATTATCTAGCATTTCAAGTCTTTACCAAATAGATGGAAGATCATTCTCGTTTTCATACACATAGCCATGCCAAAAAAAAGAGCCTATTCCAGAATGTGCTACATGAATTATTTACCTCCTTGGTTTAATAAATCTGGGGTTTTTTGATAAGCATTTAAAGATGTGTCAAATACCAGTTTATTATCTCTTGTAATTTGATTAAAAAGAAAATTCCTGAGAAGTGCTATAGTGCAAGTTTCACCCAACATTACAAATATGTCAATTCATGTGAGGACAGTTTGATAGTAATGACCCTTTAGAGCCATCCTTCCTCTCCAAAAATATACCTCCAGAAAAATAATGCCAAATAATTCCCAATGGTGATGTCAGCGGAGCAATATAAAGGTGACTATCCCAAAGTCAAGCACGTATTCAAGTACGTGAACATAAGTTAACAGAAGATAGAAGTACATAACTGAGATCACAATTCTCCCCAAGGTTAAAAGATCAAGACTATTTTTATTCCTTTGCTGTGCCCAATAAATCACCAGGTTCTGTTATTTAAATATATTGTAAAGGGGGTGTACAATATTGAACAGTTATCCTCGTTCAATATCTGCATACCAGTCTGTCAACTAACAGTATGGAGAAACAGCAAGTGATAGGCCACAGACTAGGTACATTTTCACTAAGGGGAAGAAGGCCCCAGGAACAGAAGGAACAGAGTATAGGGTGGCTACAAGAGCTGTGGTTGGTTTCCAATATGGTCTCATTAAAGGATGCTGGTAAATGGCCCCTCCTCCATATCTCTTAAAATTTCACCAACACGGGCACATTTTTTTTAAACTATCAAACCTCTTTTTAAAATATGCAATCTCTTGCGGTGTTTGAAACATATTAAACTGAGTTTAGCTAAAGTAGTTCAATGGGATATACTCTTAACATATGTTGAGAACTGAAGGAATTCTCTAAACAATGAAGCAGTGAGTGCTCTGAATAATGAAAGAGCAAATCTGAATGACTAACCACTTTTATAAATATTGACATTGGGTGTGAGAGGACACTGAAAGGAATCCAAAGAGGGCTGTAAAAACCACGACTGACAATATTAGAAGCAATCTCAACAGTAGCAAAGAGAATGCTAAAGTAGAGGAAAGTAGAGGCCAGATTAAAATAAATTGACCCCTGTACTATTGACAAGATGAGAAGTCAGAATAAATAGTTGACCCTGACCTGTCTCTCCCACCAGGCAACAATTTATTCAGTAATAGAGAGAACAGGGGAATATTCATCAACTTGATATGAACTCTTCTGTGATAATTTTGATACCCGAAGCCCTTGCTAATAAAGATCAAGGATTTCAGTCTTCAGTCTAGGTTACAACTCAATGTAAAGGACACCCGAATCCTCACAACTGGACAATTATGTAACATCATACTAAATTAGAAAAGTCTGAAGTTATCGAGGATTTCACCTGTTTGGATCCACCATAAATGCAGGGAAGAGATCAAATGATGCATGGCATCAGGAAAATCTGCTGCACCAGACCTCTTTAAAATGTTGAGAAGCAAAAATGTTACATTGAGAACTGAGGTGCTCCTGACCCAAGCTATGGTGGTTTCAATCTCCTCAAATGCATGTGAAACTTAGGACATGGCAGAAGAAAGACCAAAGAATGAATGCATTGAATTATGGTGCTAGTGAAGAATATTGAAAATAGGATGGACAAACAAATCTGTCTTGGAGGAAGTCCAGCCAGAAGGTTTTTTAGAGGCCAGGGTGGTAAGATTTTGGCTCATGTACCGTGGACATGCTATTAGGAGAGAGCAGTCCCTGGAGAAGGACATCATGTTTGGTAAAGAAGTGGGACAGTGAAAAGAGTTAGATCCTTGAAAATATGGATTGGCACAGTGGCTGCAACAATGGGCTCAAACATAGCAATCACTGTGAGGATGGCGCAGGACCTTGCAGTGGTTATTTCTGTTGTACATTGGGTCACTGTGAGTCGGAACCGATTCAGTGACCCCTAACAACATATTTTATATGTTCTGGCCTTGTTTGGCAGAGATTTACCAAAGAGATTCCTCAGGGAAGGTGTTTGGTTTTTTTTTAATCTGGATTTCAGAGGCAATTATTGGATAACTGTCAGTTTGGAAGGACATCCTCTCTAACATGAAAATTATTATAAACTGGAAGAAATATGAAAGAATATCCAAAGTTAATAAAACAGGCAATAAAGGAGGTTGGTAGAAAGAAAGAAAAAGGAAAGACATTAAGATATCAAGAGGAAAAAAAAGAAATTCCTTAGCAGGTTGGCTATTTCAAGCCAACATTATTGCTCGTCGTCAAAATAGCAAGAGGGCCCCATTTCCTCTCCTGTGACTTCAAAATTTCCTGTTTCTCAACTTCTTTTTTTTTTTGCAAGAAACTCGAGAGGTGAATATTCCATGAAAAATTCCTTCTCTATGCCTTAGAATTCTCCCTATGACTTACTATTGTAGCATGAAGAAGCAAAAACAAAACGAAAGAAGGGATGAAATGCAAACCTCTAAACTATGGAGAGCTGTTTGGGCAGACACTCAGAAAGAATGGAAAATTTACTTCTTGATGTACTCATGCATCTTAACCAAGCCTGTGCTTCCAAAACTGTGAAATATTATCTAAAGTGAGAGAGAGGCTGAATTTTGTATCATCTAAGCATGTTTCCCAAAAAGAAACAATTAGGCAATGAGGAGGAAATATAGGAATTTCCCCAGGTTTTATTCAATTTTTTACAAATGCTGCATGTGTTATTTTTAGTACAATGGCATTTTGTTCATTTGGGGGCACCAGTGCAGAAATATCGGCAACGTGATCTCTACCAGTTATATCGTAGTCCCTTTGTATTATTCCAAGGAATACGAAATTTTCATCAATTTTTGACCACTATTTCTAATGCTTAAAATATCTCCTTTTGATCTTTGAAGCACAGTGTTAAGATAGTCCAAGCTTATCGCGCTTGGCGAAGGAGCATTGTGTAGACAGAGCCCTCCAGAACACAGAAACGTATGAAATCTGATTAGAGAGAAGCAAGAAAAGCATTTCCCCCACAAACACATCCAGGAATATCTCCAACTTCTCATCCAACAATACCAAGACTATCTTGATCAGTTATTCATTGTATCTAGATACTGAGGGCAACTATCTCTCTGGGACCATACATTAGTGGGTTATCCACCAATATTGTCAATAAATATACTTGAATTCACATCTTATTTTCACTTTCCTAAGACCAGTGCCTGGAGAGAACTAGATGCTCACAGGTCAATTAAATGATTAGGGAGAGGGAGAAAGGGAGAGGAACTGCTAACATTGTTTGTGGTGCTATATAATGGAGCATTCAGGGCATCTAGGGGCACTAGGGTAATGTGAAACGTAAAAAGAAGGAACCAAACGTTGAGCTGTATCAAGTCAAAGTAAAAAAAAATATGCAGACTTTTCAAAATTGTTGAGAATTGGCTCAATTTCCATGAACGACTGAGCTTTTCTTCAGCTATCACAGAGATGGCTGAGAATATGCCATGTGGACTGAGATTCTTTGGATTCTGTTTGGTCAAGACAGTCATGATCCAACATTAGTAAAGCTAAATAGAAACAACGTTCAGTAAGTTTAAGGTATGGTACCATAAGAGAGAAAAGCACAAGCTATTTGTATATACCCCAATCTGGTTGTTCAGGTGAGAGTATTTGTAATCACTGAGCAGGTGCCCATTTACAGTTAGACACATAACGTAATACCTGTGGCCAATGAAATCTGAATAGGACAAGTGAGAACTGGTCGTTTTCCAGAGAGGTATCTTTGTCTAGCATGTTTTCCAGACCTTTAACAAATGTCAAACAGCTTTACTTACGAGGAGCCCCTTCAGCCATTTCGATTGCAGTGATTCCCACAGACCACACATCACTCTGCAAAGAAAAAGAAGACAATGTCACTTGAAATTGGAGCACTGGTACCAATCTTTGTTTGCAGAGGGTGTCAATTGAGAGCCATTTTATGTTGAAGCTTTGTTAGCCTGACATTTCAGGAAGACAATCTGAGCTTATGACAACTTGATCTTTCATGATACAATTGGTTTGTAGGAGATGGGCAGTGTAAGGAAGGTTCGCCTTACACGTATCGCTATTATTGCCGTAATTGAAATACCAAAAGGAGCTTGCTGTAAGACGTCCTATTATAAAGACTTGGGTGATTTTAAGTGAGATTTAATGTTGTACCTCAAGTTTCTCCTAAATAAATTGGAGATAATAACAGTACCCACCTCATAGGGTTGGTATGAGAATAAAAATGAAATAATATATGTAAATTTCTTTCAGCAGGTCCTCCAACTCCAACTCTCACTGCCATCGTGTTGATATCAACTCATACTGATCCTATAGGACAGACTAGAACTGCCCCTGTGAGTTTCTGAGACTATCACTCTTGACAGAAGAAGAAAACTCCGTCTTTCTCCCTGGAGCAGCTGGTGTTCTTGCACTGCTGACCTTTTGGATCACAGACCAACTCGTAAACACTAAGCCACCAGGGCGTGATTCCCCGTTCAGCAAAGCTTCAGCAAGTAATAGCATATATTAAACTGAGGGTAGAATTATAGTGTGGCACTAGGAAATAATCTTTACTATTGTTAACTACATGTTTTTCTAGAATATGGAAAAAGAGTATGCAACAGAAGTCAATTGGCTGGTGGTCTGACCCTAAACAAGTGAACTGAATTCTCAGAGCCCAGTTTATACATTGGGTAACTTCAAAGGATTATTGTGATGGCCTAAGCTTAAGCTGCCTTTCATTTAAGTAGGGTTTCAATGTAAAAATTAACTAGAAGTAGGAGTTACAGTACTTTGAGGCCTGAAAAATAATTTACACCATTATAAAGCATTAGTTTAACCTTAAACCTCTTGAGGGTTAAAATATGCTTCCATATTCTCTACAGCTCCTCCTTGAGCCCTGGACATAAAATAGGCCCTCGGTAAATATTTATTTTGCCAATCAAGCAGAGGACATTTAAGAGAAAGGGAATCGAGATAAACTTAATCAACGTCAAGTACTGAGTACTAGAATCTACAAAGGATTGCTTGGATGACTTACAATGTGGAGACTGAGTGAGGTTTTCCAGTCTATAGCCATAGCGAGCTTGCTTTCCACATCAGTTTTTTGAAATGTGTACATAGATGTATATTGTCCAGATTGCAGCTTCAGTGGAAATTTTAATAAATAGTATGAATTGTTACTTAATTTGTCTATTCCACTGATTTTCTGTGGTTTTGGAGTTGAACCATGCCAAGAACTTTCTCTGTTATCCTGAGTAATCAAATTATTTCTCTCATTTTTAGAGCTGAGTTACTGTGGAAATTAATAATGGGCCTTACATTTATTCATTTTTAAGTTTATAGAACCCTCTACAGATAAATTTCCCCAGAAAGCCACATAATATAATATAATATATTTTACTAAGACATTGCAAATAACATGAACTAGACATTCTCAAATCTGGATAACTCCCAATAGTCTACTTTGTCTCAGTTTGTAGGAAACATTATTTTATGCATATAGTTGAACCACATGTAGGGATCAAGGCTAATATTTCTTATTAGATTTTAATGTGAAAGAGGAATTTGCTTACTTTTTATCATTTAAAAAAGTGAACATTAGTCAAAAATCCTTTCCAAAATTTTAGTCCTACATTGTGAATCCTGACACTCACTCTGTAATCATAAGAGCGTCTTGGGTCCTCATCACAGTTAATCACCTCCGGTGCCATCCAGTATGGTGTCCCAATGAAACTATTTCTCCTCCCATTAGTTCTGCTCACCTGAGCACTCACTCCAAAATCCACTGCAAAATTCAGCATATGTCAAAATAATTAATCAGTAACAAAAAGCTTAATAAGTTATTGCTTTAACTTGGAAAGCCAATACAAAAGCCACAATGGATAACAGATTTTCATTCCAGCACAGCAAACTTTACCATTAAGTCTACTCCAGGAATACTGGGAAATAGGCTTCTGCTGCTATTTATTTTGGAAGGAGACTCAGCAGAGCTATTATAAATCAATGGTAGGTTTGGCTGAATGTTTACCATGAATATTAAAAATAAAGTTCCATCAGTACACCCTGAACCTCTGAAGTGATAACATATGTCGTACTTGGACCTGCCACCAAGCTGGCAGAAGAACAGCACTATAAGCAACATCTAAGAAACGCAAAACCTATTAGTAAATGACCAAGAAGCTTCATGTGTGACTTTAAAAAAGCCTATCACATTGAGGAAGTAAAATGAGTTTTCTGCTAGAATTTGGTTTAAGTTCTTCTACAGCTCCCCAGGAATCAGCTACAAATATAAATGTTTCAATGGCTTTTCACTTTCAGATTTTCTCTCCTGTTGCAGTGGTCAGGGTTTGCCAGCAACTCAATTCAGTATGTTGAAATGTTGCTCTATATGAGACTACAGTGATGAGCCTTACGGTGGATTATATATTCTGTAAATTTACTGTGAAATCTATATGACATACACATATTTTAATACAGTTTTTGAAAAATTGGGTTTCTAGCTATATAACATAGCATTTAAATACAAATGAGATAATATATTTTCTTGAAACTGCCTTTCACTTATTTCAAGAGCAATTAATACCTAATGCTTCTTCTGAGAATATTCAGTGAGCAAACAAAATACATAGTCTAATTCTATTTCCTAGGAAAATAGAAAATATCTTAAGGTTATGTTGAGGTATCTTGGGTAAGAGTTGATATAACTTAAAAATAATAAACCGATAAAACAGAAACTTCTAACAGTTATCTATATTCCATAGTAATGGAGTTATCTATCATAGCCACAATTATATATAGTATTTATATTATTATAATTATATATAGTCATAATTCATATAGTATTTCAAAACCAATCAAATATTAATTTTAAAAGTAGCAAGATAAAATATATTCTTTCTCATGTGGTTGTGAGGACAGTTGAAGTGCAGTTCTTTATGAATATATTGCACTTCTTTGAACCTGGAATACAAACTGAGGAACTTTCTGGTCTTTTTATTTCTAAATCTGAATTTGATTTAGATAATTAGAACATCATTTTGATCAATGTAATTTATTTAATACCCTACAGGACAAAGTATAACTTGCCCATAGAGTTTCCCAAGCTGTAGTATTTAGGAGATGGACAGTGATTAGAGGAATTCTTACATCATTCACAAGTTCTTTGGTATCTTGGGGGAAGATCTAGCTCTGTTATAGAAGCATATTTTAAAAGAATTTTTAATCCCATCCACGTACAGAAACTTGCACACATAAAATACTCAATTCAATAGCTGGAATAAATATAAATGCTATGTCTAATAGAGGGCAAAGCAATGGTTGGGAAAAACCCTGTTACAGTTAAGCAGTTGTTGGCTATTGTATTTTATTATTTCAAAGAAGCAGATCCTTTTCTTTCAGTATTTATCCCACCTTTGCTTCCAAACAAAGTGTCAAATGTTAACTGGCATTACAAGCAGACTCAGTCAGTAAGTCCAGGATACTGGAACTGGTATGATAGAAAACACAGGTATCTTAAAGTTTTCCTCATTAAGATATTTGGGCCTCCATATGACATATTCCAAGAATAAGCTTACCCAGCTTGACTTCAGCGTTTTGAGTTAGTAGCACATTCTGACCTTTGATGTCCCGGTGGATTACTCTGTGTGCATGAAGGTGAGCTAAGCCCTGTATAAATGCAAATATATTTTAAAAAGTCACATCAGCATATGTTTTTCCTCTTTCCCCATTCTGTTCTTAGTACTTTTGGAGCAACTTTTTTTTCCTGAAAAAAGCCTACCTTTGATTTTACAGATGAAATTCTTTTTTTGCCTGGAATGCGTACAACCATTTCCAAGAAAAACTACTTTTGGCTATACAGAAAGGAAAATAAATCAGGACACCCTTGAAAGAAAAGGAACACCTCCCTTTTGGCTTCCATACTTCCAACTAACCATAAGAGTAAAGAACTGGATTTCTGAAATATCCAACTCAGCCATTGTGCTGTACTCCTCACCAAGCATTTGTTTGGTCCAATACTTTTTCTAGTCAGACTTGTAGGCTAGGAAATTGGGAGAATATAAACATTCATTTTAAAGCGTTTGTAACTTGTATTGGCTTGCCATGCTGGCTTCAGCCCATTCACCACTAAAGCTAACCTGTGACCTGGTATACACTATTAGGCTGGCAAGAGATCTCTTCAGATACTGAGAATTCATCATTGTTGATGCTAACTCACAGCAATCCTATAGCACTGAATTGAACACCCCCCATCAGGTTTCCTGGGTGGAAATCTTTACAAATGCAGGTTGTCAGGTCTTTTCTCCTGTGAAGTAGTTGATGTGCAACAATTACCAACCTTTTTGTTAGCAGCTGAGCATTTCATCACTGAACTGCCAGGGCTCCTTGATTAATAATAGCAGTAACAATAAGAACAGTTAAGACATATTGTGTCATTATTTCCTAGGCACTGTGGTAGATGCTTTATGTGGAGTAAATTGCTAAATCCTCGCCTTGTAGAAGGTGCTAGTACCTCCAGTATTATAGGTGAGGAAAGTGATAGTTGGAGAAATTCCAGAACTGACTCAAAGTATCAGTGAATACACTAATACATGGTGAAACAATTATCACAAGGGAATCCAGCCCAGATGGGAGGAAGGACATTCTAATAATGTGAGTGGGAGCTATTAAGTTCTGTCAATATCCTTCTTGGGTGACCCACTTCAACCCTAAAGGAAAACCAGCAAGGAAAACTTGAATTTGGTAAGCCAAGTAGATTATTGCTCTTATCCAATTTGGTGTTAGAAGTAAAGACTTTAAAGGGGGAGGGGCAGTATTCAGTGAAGGCTGTCTATCTTCAAAAGAGCTGTAGAGGGTTTGGGATTTTTCTGTAAATCACTGATTTTTCCTGCCTCATCACGATCTCTAAGAGAGTGCTATAAACCCACTTCTTTGGTTAGGTTTTGAAGACAAAGTCATTATGCACAAACAGTGCTATGCAGAACTGGAGCATGTTTGAATCATTACATTACTTCCTTATTGAATCATTACACTTATGTGAAGCCACTGAGAATGATACAACCACATTGACACATGACTTTCACTATCACTGCCAACATTACCTTTGCCTCACACCTCTGTATTCATTACTGAATAGGGAATAATTGGATCGGAGATTATTTTTTATTTTACTATTTTCCTAAATGCAAAATGTTGGACAACCAGCTGATGAGAGAGGTGTACAATTAATTCAGAACTCTAACATAATCATTTAAAAAAAAACAAAATAAACACAATCCACTGCACACAGTAATCTGACCCTGAGAGAATCACTGAAGGTTGTGCATTGCAAAAGGCCTGGCTGCTTACCTTTCAGTCTACCTTACAAGCACATCATCTTGAAATCTGCTTTCTTAAAAGCCTTTTGGGCATTCTTTATGCCCTAATCCAGAAGTTATGCTTAGGATTATTAATCCTAGTAATCAAATGTTAGCAGGACCAAAAATATAGATTACAGAACATTCGTCAATTCAGAGTTTTTCATGTATACAATTCAGAGCGACCACTTAGCGCAGTCATGTGTAATCATCACCAATGTCTGTTGCTAAACTTTTCCATCACTGGAAAAGGAAACTCGCTGATTCCTAAACAATTGCAAACATTACTGTCAGCTTCTTTAAAAGTTCTGGGAGAAGGACTTTATGACGACTCACCTGAAGGATTTCTCGGCAGATATAAGCAATCCAATCTTCTTTTAAACTCTGATTTTTGGTCAACCTCACTACATCAGTGACTGAGCCCGCTGCACATAACTCCATTACCATCTGCAGGGAAGCCAACAAAATATCAAGAATTAGAAAGTAATTCTCTGAAAATATCTGGGGATTTTGAGCCCGTATGGCTGGTAATGCTCTGAGATTTAAAGCACTGCAGAGGCTGTAGGACTCCAAAGGCTAGTGGAATCAGAAAGCTTTGGACAAAACTCAAAGATTTGTGTAAGTCAGGTACCACACCAGGTATATTAAACGAAAAGGTGGGATTTAAGTTAAATCTGGAAGGACATGTAGTATTTGTAGGTGTTGGGAGAAAAAAAAAGGATGATTATTCATTTTATGAAAAAAGAAATAGAATGAGCGCATAGCCTTAGAAAATTTGTGTAGGGGACAAGCCTGCATTTCATGGAAAGTATAATTCAAAGAATAGTTTGGGGATGAAAACGCAGGGCCTTGGTGTATTGTTTTTATTTTCAATTTACAAATTAATTTTCCCCAAGAGACTGGCAAACCACAAGCCTTCCAAATGGGAGTCCTGCTGGTGCTGTCAGGTAAGCATTAGACTGATCATCAGCAGTTCAAATGCATCAGCCCTGCTCTTCAAGGAAGAATTGAGGCTATCTGCACCCATCAAGGTTGACTCTTGAAAACCTTGGATAGGGTCCCGTAAAGTGGGAATCAACTTGAGGGCAGTGGGAGGTCTGTCTGGTTGCTAAGTGGGTGAGCACTCTGGCTAACTAAAACTGTTGGCAGCTTAAACCCACTTGCCTTTGACAAGTACAAAATGTGGTAGTCTGCTTCTGTGAGGAGTATAGCCTTAGAAACCTATAGGGGTATGATTCTCAACTTTCCTTATGCCGCGACCCTTTAATGCCGTTCATGTCGCTGTGACACCCAACCATAAAATTACCTTAGATGCTACTTCATAACTGTAATTTTGCTACTGTTATGAATTGGATAACCCCTGTGAAAGGGTCTTTGACTCCCAAAGGGGTTGTGACCCACAGGTTGAGAACCACTGCTATAGGGACTATTCTCTTGTGTCCCATAGGGTCGCACTGAGTTATAATTGACAAGATGGTAATGGAGTTCTATTTGTTTGTTTGTTTTTAACATTGAGAGTATGTTATTCAAATTTTACTTTCCAAATAACCTCAATTTGTCAGAAAATCATTTTTTTGCCACACATGCTTTGAATGTACAACTAGTTTTTTATTCTTATGCACTGAATTGTCTTCCAAATATTAGCTAAGTGGAGGACTCACCAGTGTGAAGAAGAATGTTAACTATTAAAATCAACCTAGATCTTAATAGAACCCCTTCTTTATTAGGGAAGGTTTTATGCATTCTGCCCATATCAAACCTGCCCTTATCAACAGAACACAACATGTATATAAAAAAAAAAACAACAACGAAGAAAAAAAAATACATAGCTGATACCAAGGGCTCAAATAGAAAATAAATGTTTAGAAATGATGATGGAAACATATGGACAAATATGCTTGAAATAATTGAATGTTATAGGAGCTGTAAAATGATTTAAAATAAATTAAAAGAACAACTGTTAAGTGATTTAATTATTGTCACAGATGAAGGGGAACAAGAGGATAAACCCCAAATCATGAATATTTCCTTCTCAGAAAACTACTCCCATAATTTATATTTTCTCAAAACTAGTATTATTGCATTACTTTCACCTGAACACATTTTCACCAAGAATAAGAGAAGAGGGGGTCAACTAAAAACCATAATACAGAAAAATCACCAAAGGATATTTTTCATGTGGTGAATTAGGAGTGGACTATATTGAATGGCCAAACGTGTATACTGTGGTCATGGAAGGAAAGGGGCTCATTTGAATCCTGAGAAAAATGAATTAAAACCATTTACCAAGATGCACCCTGAAAGATCTTAGTAATATGATCTGCATCAGAAGAATTCTCCTGTGAAAGCAAATGGTGGAGTTCTCAATCATTTTCCTAGGTTTTTAAGCGTAGTGACTGGCACATATTCTTTATAAATGGTAATTACTTTGTCATTTACTTTCTATCTGTTGTTCTGGTTTACATAAGAGCGAATGTATTCATGAAATTCTTAATTCCACAAGTGATTAATTCATCTTTCAAATTTATTTTCTAGCTTTAGTTTTTCAAGGCAGAGTTTCTCATTTCCCACCTTAATTCAGGTTCCTTTGTATTCGCTCATAGAGAACGAGATTATTTCCTTTCAGATCAATTATACTTTCATTTGAGTGAAAAACATGGGTTGGCAAAAAGAGACTGTAATCTCCAATGGGTCATGGGTCTATCTATTTAGCTTACTAGGTATCCCCAACATCTAGCAGTGTCTGACAAATAGATAATGCTCAATGAATAGATGTTGAATGCTTGAATGAATTGATTACCAAGAACATGTATCCAATTAGAAGGATACAACACATCACACAGTTTGCTATTCTGTCAAGAGGAAAATACATGTTGAAAATGAAAATAGATGAGAAGACAAATGGTGTATATAAAAAACAAATACTAACCATTAAAGCTATGTGGCAATATACTCTGCCCTGAAGCTGTGAGAGAATAGTGGATTCTAGTTAAGTGGATGATTGGGAGCTATTGGGGTTAAGTTGATCTTTAAATCTGGTGGTTCTCAAAATGGAATACCCAAAGCAGAAGCAACCTGTGACTGTGCTATGAAGTGCAAATTCTTGGATCTCCTTTCCAAATCGAAATAGAATCTCTTCGCTGTGGGACCCTCCGATGTGTACTTTAAAAGGCTTTCTAGGAGATTCTAATACATAATATAGTTTTGTAACCCAGTGTTTTAATTTGATCTTTTACTGAACATCTTTTGATCATTCCCATTGCTCTCATTCTTAAAACGCAGTTTAGAATGTTAACTGATCTTTTTCTTGACACTTTAAGATTAAGGGAACAACAAGCGATCCAAATTGGTGGGGAGGTGGGTGTGGGAGACCTGGTAGGGCAGGATCAAGGGGAACGTAACAAAGAGGAAGTGCTGAAATC